TGTAGTTTTCTTTTTTTGTGGCATCTTTGTCTGGTTTTGGAATTAGGGTGATGGTGGCCTCATAGAATGAGTTTGGAAGTTTACCTTCTTCTGCAATTTTCTGGAAGAGTTTGAGTAAGATAGGTGTTAGCTCTTCTCTAAATTTTTGGTAGAATTCAGCTGTGAAGCCATCTGGTCCTGGGCTTTTGTTTGCTGGAAGATTTCTGATTACAGTTTCGATTTCCTTGCTTGTGATGGGTTTGTTAAGATCTTCTATTTCTTCCTGGTTCAGTTTTGGAAAGTTATACTTCTCTAAGAACTTGTCCATTTCTTCCAAGTTGTCCATTTTATTGGCATAGAGCTGCTGGTAGTAGTCTCTTATGATCCTTTGTATTTCAGTGTTGTCTGTTGTGATCGGATTAGGCAGAATTTCTAACTGAGAAATCAAACCTCAGCTGAGAAATCACCTGAGGTCAGGTACCTTGAATCTATATGCAGTCATTATTACATATTATAAAAATATATAATAACATTTTATATTAGTCATTCTCATTAATTGACTTTGTTGTCATTTTCCAAAATAGTAATAGGGAAAACATGTTTAATTAACAGAGTCAAGACAGGTATGGAAGACCACTATGGTGGCAAGAACTAATAGAGTACTTCTCACTTTAGCAGTCCTTTTGTTCCAGCATCTTTGGATGCTGCATCATTCAGTAGAGAGATCAGTGGCATAAAAGACACAAGAAGGCCATTAAAAGTAGACAACAGGAAGTAGCTATACAATAGTCTTAAAAACTAGGAATCAGTAGATTTTAGAATGCTGGAAGTATGGAAGATTGTGATCAAAAAATGAGACTGCAGCATTTGAGATCTTGGAGGTAAAGCAGTTTGAGGAGATGGAAAAGTGTAACGTGTTATAAAATGGTTCATATAAATGGTTCATTTGCTTCCCATGCTACCCTGTGAGATGGGGAGCTCAGAATAGCAAGACTATGTGCCTCTAATAAAGGCTTACGTGAAAAACTTTAATTTTAGGAATCCATTGTTCTTTCCATTACACCAAGATAAATTCAGATTGTTCTTGTCTATAATATTTCTTAATTTGATATATTTTTTAATTTTTCTGTTGAGAGATTGAAACTTTATATCTTATTTTGGATTCTCTCATTTATATTATTTTAACCACAAAGCCAGTGTGATCATTTGAGACTTTAAATGGCTTTAAAACACAAGTGATTTTTTTAAATTCCATAAGAGTTGTTGCATTTAATTTTGAGTTACAAATGCTAGGATTTACATTGGTGAAAGCTATAGTTAGAAATATTGATTCTATCTTCCTTGCCAGAGAAATAGTTACCTAAAAAGATTCATTTTTTAAAACAGGTAAAATTTCCTTTTTGTTTAATTTTCTTTGAGTACTTAATATATTGTGATAAGTATTTCTTAAAACTCCATTTCATATGAGTATGAAAGATTACCTCTGTAATTTTCTTTCTTTTAATCTCAATAAAACATGAAAATTTATTCAATATTTATGTCAGTCATTGCCATATAGTAGAAATTGCCAAACAGTAGAAATTCAAAGACAACTATCACACAGTTCTGTGCTCAGAAAACTCATGGGCTAATGATCCATTTATACACATTTTTGTAGATTTGTAAAACAGTATGCTACATCCAGTCCTATAGTCTGTGCATTAGTATTATGACAATGCAGACAGGAAGCTACCTAATTTATCCTGAAGATAGTTGCTTGAATTGCTTTATAAGGCAAGTATGAGGTAGTCAGGTAGGCCAAAGGGTAGCTTGGTCAAAGGCAGAAGTTGCAAACAGTGTGACGGTGATGGGAACTGAATGCAGCTCTAAGCCAAAGTGCACACAGGCAGGCAGGGGATGGAGAGTTTAAGCTGAAGAGGTAGTCTAGGGCCATATAATCCAGAAAGCCATCTGTCTTTTAAAGGAATCTGATAAGAAGTTGCTTAATTAGATAGCAATTAGTAATTGCTTAATCTAATTAAATAACTACTTAAATAGATAAGTAGTTGCTCAAGTATGTATATTTAAATTTTATAATTATATGCACTCATTCCTATGAGAATATACTTATTATGCTATGCTAAGTTGCTTCAGTCATGTCCAACTCTTTGCGGCCCTACGGACCATAGCCCACCAGGCTCTGCTGTCCATGGGATTCTCCAGGCAAAGATACTGGAGTGGGCTGTCATGCCCTCCTTCAGAGGATCTTCCTGACCCAGGGATCAAACCTATATCTCTTATGTCTCCTGCATTGGCAGGCAGGTTCTTTACCACTGACGCTACCTGGGAAACCCAGTATATGTGTTATATAGCATATATAAACTTTAAAAAATATTAGAGGATATATGAAAAAAATATTATTTTTAAAATTATGAATTATTGATAGAGGTTCTTAGTTTCAAACTACAGACTCTATCTAACTTAAGGAATGAAGTGACATAAAAAGGCTGTTGGCATAATTGGGGTGATTGGATAATGAAACTCTTTGCAGGCTTTTAGCCAACCATAGATCTAGGGCATCATGTCTTCCTCTACTAGGAACCTCTGAATCCTGGAAGTAGAGACCAGATATCTGCCAGTGTTTATAACAGAAAAATTGAATGACTACTGCTATGTTTGCCAGAAGATTATTTTTCTCATTTGTGACTACGGATGCATGTGTAGGCCCTGTGTTACGTGTCATATCTGTCTATAAGGAAATCTGGAAATGTGAGTTTCTTACATTCTGTCTTGAGAAACTAAGACTCTCAATGAGGAAAATTATCAAAATAACATGTGGGGAAGATAATCAAAAGATTAGAGCAGCCGCAAATGGCAGGTATTTCCTACAGTGGAACAAAATACCCTTTTGCTGTGATTAAAAATATAATTATTATTGGTAATAGTATGATATATAAATGTGTTTGGTCATGTTTTATGCTCTCAATAGTTATATCTCAGCAAAACTCTCACCTAGGGACAACTCATCAATAATAGTATTTTCTATAAATTAAAATTTCAAACTTTCTTCTTGATAATTATACTTCTAGTCAGTTTGCTGTATGATCTCAAGCCATCCCTATTATTTTTAATGTATGGTGTGACTCAGAAAATACATGTAGCAGAGTAGGAAAAGTTACCAGTTTACCCTTCCTTTGCAGTTAGCTTGTCCTTTCATTATGCATAGTCTCTTTGTGTGGATTACTTGCAGATGGTTTTTTTAAAGCCACTTGTCTATTTTATGAGACTTCACTTTTGTCTGCATGTGATATATGTATCCAGTTTACACAAATCAGTTAACAGAGTGCAGGTGAGCAGCGATATTTCACAGGAGACTCAGTCAGTAAGTGAGAGCCAAGGTTCACCTCTTTACTGTCTGGAGTTCCCCTTCTCATCAGGTGACCCTGGCCAGCCTGCATGGCTTCTGCATCATCTGACATGTTGATTGAGTGAGGGTTCCCGTGGTAGTCTGCACAAGAATATTGATATGGCCTGTTTTATGTATTCTTCTTTCAACTGAGAACAGATTTATTTAGAATTTCAGATACTTTCCTTATGTCCCAGATGATTACTTTGTGCACCTTGAAGGGCAGGAGCTTTATACTGTGGAACCTACAGCTTTGGTAAAGAGAAGTCTTTGAAGAGGATTCAGTAAGGCAGTGACTTGGCTAGATGTGTACTTCTGAATGTTGGCCCAAGTTTACCAGGTGAAGTTCACTGAGAAGGACTGACAGCAGGAAGGCCAGATGAAAGAATATGGTATGTTGTCCAGGTCAGAAATCGTCAAGTATTCAAGAGGAGTGCTATGATAAAATAAGTCTCAATCTTCAAGATTTGGTAAATCCCTGGAAGTAGTTATTGGTAGGAGAAAGAATAAGGAATGATTTTCTGGTTCCTGACTAAGGCACAGTTTGTGTGTGTATGGGTTTCTTTCTACTTTTTAACACAAAGGATGGATTCTTACATGCCATATGACTCCTGATTGCCTTCTTGGGGGGGAAAACAAAGCTTATGGGTATAATGTCTTTTTTTCCTGATGCCTTGCAGTATTTGTAGCAATACTTTTTGTTGTTGTTCAGTGGCTTAGTCATCTCCAACTCGTTGCAACCTCATGGATTTCAGCATGCCCAGCTTCCCTGTCCTTCACCATCTCCAGGAGTTTGCTCAAACTCATGTCCATTGAGTCAGTGATGCCATCCAACCATCTGATCCTCTGTCATCCCCTTCTCCCCTTGCCTTCAGTCTTTCTCAGCATCAGGGTCTTTTCCAACGAGTCAACTCTTCACCTCAGGTGGCCAAAGTATTGGAGCTTCAGCTTCAGCATCAGCCCTTTCAATGAATATTTGGGGTTGATTTCCTTAATGATTGACTGGTTTGACTTCCTTGCAGTCCAAGGGACTCTCAAGAGTCTGCTCCAGCACCACAGTTCAAAGGCATCAATTCTTCAGCTCTCAACATTAATTTTAGTCATTTTATAAACATTTCCCCTGTATCTGCTCTAGGCACTGACTCTTAGCAAACCTTTGATAAGGTTATTTTCAGGTTTGTGCTCCGTTCTTAACAGTATGATTTTCCAGAAATGAAAAGTGAGTCATTTTCATCATAAGATAAAAAAAAAAGAATATTTTCCCCAATACGTGATACACATTTAGTGGAAATACGGGTGATTGCGTTGTGCATCCTATGATTGAGATCTTGGAGGTAAAGCAGTTTGAGGAGATGGAAAAGTGTAACGTGTTATAAAATGGTTCATATAAATGGTTCATTTGCTTCCCATGCTACTATCTGCTCTAGGCACTGACTCTTAGCAAACCTTTGATAAGGTTATTTTCAGGTTTGTGCTCCATTCTTAACAGTATGATTTTCCAGAAATGAAAAGTGAGTCTCTTTCATCATAAGATAAAAAAAGAATATTTTCCCCAATACGTGATACACATTTAGTGGAAATACGGGTGATTGCGTTGTGCATCCTATGCTTAGTCATTGCTGCTGCCTGTCTTTAGCTGGGATGACAGCAGTTCCGTGAGCAGTGGTCTCAGCGACACCCTGGATAACATCAGCACCGATGACCTGAATACCACGTCCTCTGTCAGCTCTTACTCCAACATCACTGTCCCATCCCGAAAGAACACTCAGGTAAGAATTGCCTTTTCTTTTTCCACTGCTTCTGCCAGATTTTTCCCCAAGTTATGTTGCTGCTGCTAAGTCACTCCAGTCGTGTCCGACTCTGTGTGATCCCACAGATGGCAACCCACCAGGCTCCCCCATCCCTGGGATTCTCCAGGCAAGAACACTGGAGTGGGTTGCCATTTCCTTCTCCAATGCATGAAAGTGAAAAGTGAAAGTGAAGTCGCTCAGTCCTGTCCAACTCTTAGCAACCCCATGGACCACAGCCTACCAGGCTCCTCCATCCATGGGATTTTCCAGGCAAGAGTACTGGAGTGGGGTGCCATTGCCTTCTCCACAAGTTATGTTACATTGCATTAAAATATAGCACAGCCTCTTAGTCTGAAGTAATTACATAAACTGAGACAGCTTGTGTATGTGTATTTTTTCAATTGATTACATCTAACCCAGAAAGCCTTCTGTTGCATATCTTTCTTTATAATATTGATATAATTGTTTAGGAATCCAAAGTGATTTTTTAATTGTCTAATTTTGGATAGTTTGGATTCATTTTATATTGATCTCTGAAATGCATTGCTGAATCTCTTGAGAATTGTGAATCGAGAATGAATATTAGATAATTAAGTTTTATCTTGTTTTACTTTTCCTTGTTAGATTTGACATAGAAAATGCCTTCCTCTCTGGAGTATTTAATTGAAGTTTTCTGCACACATTTCTTCTGATATTCTCTAATATGTGCAAGTGAGAATTATAGGACTAAAATTAATGAAACTTAAATGAAGAGAGAGATAAAAATAGAGGCGTCTTTGGAGTTCTTTTGAAATACAAATCACTGCTGCTGCTTTTTTTTTTTTTAGCTAATTATCTGAAAGGACATTCCAGGGCCCAATTCACACTTGATAGATTTTTCTGCACCAAGTTTTTCTGTCCTATTTTCTTCACAGCTGAAGACCGATTCAGAGAAACGATCTGCAACAGATGAGCCTTGGGAGAGCACCGAGGAGCTGAAAAAGCCCGAGGAGGACTTTGACAGCCATGGGGATGGAGGTGGCAAGTGGAAGGGTGTTTCCTCTGGACTTCCTGAAGACCCTGAGAAGACGGGGCAGAAAGCCTCCCTGGCTGTTTCTCAGACAGGCTCCTGGAGGAGAGGCATGTCAGCCCAAGGAGGAGCACCATCCAGGCAGAAAACTGGGACCAGTGCACTCAAGACACCTGGTGGGCTGGTCTTCTGGCAACTGTTAAGCTAAATTGTCTCCATTTGATCTTTGTTGTCTTTAATAGTAGCTTTTCATAATTATGTCAAAAATATAATTATTTATATTTATATAATACTTATAGTTCTCCATATAAATACTTTTTCTGTCTAAATTTCACATGCCTTATCGTATGCATCCACATGAATATAACACTCCAGGCATCCTCTAGAGGGTATCATCACAGTTTGGTGAGTGTTTTATTTTGCCACAGTCATTCCTGCTCATGTGGATATAAAATAAGCCAACTTATTAAAAAACATAAGATAGCTTTTATTCTGATTTTCTATAAAGTTTAGAATATTCATGTTAACTCTCCCCCTATGTTTCACTTCTAAGAGCAAGAAAAGTCACACTAATCTAATGGGTTGGAAGGCTGGAGATTTGAAACATCATTTTAAAATTAGACTTGATGAAAAAATAGAGTAAAAGATTTCTGCAAATTGTACCACTTTTTTTTTCTTTTTTAAACTCTCTCCCTATTTTTAAAATGGTGCCTCATATAAATAGTGCCACCTGACATAGTAATGTAACAGGATACTTCAAATACAATCATCTGATGAACTCTTTTTCAAGCACTTAGTTTGATGAGATTAAGTGCTATCTTTATAAAGGAAGACAGTTGCAAGCTATAAGGCAATAATACATAGCAAAAATATGCATTTTCATTCTATCTCCTTGATCTCTAGTCACTTTCCTCCAACAGCCATATTTTTAAAGCTTTGTACTTAATCTTCTGAATATATTGCATACATGCCTATTTAGACCTAAAATAATGAATAGGAATTTAAGCAGAAAAAATATATATTTGGGCTTCCCAAGTGGCGCAGAGGTAAAGAATCCGCCTGCCAGTGCAGGAGACACAGATGTGAATTCAATCCCTGGGTCAGGAAGATCCCCTGAAGGAGGAACTAAAAACTCACTGTAGTAGTCTTGCCTGGGAAAGCCCACGGACAGAGGAGCCTGGTGGGCCACAGTCCATGGCGTTGCAAAGAGTCAGACACGACTGAGCACTGCGCGCACACACAGATGTATTCACATTTTACACTCTGTTTAAAGAAGTGTGAAATCACAGTGTGCAGGTACCTAAATATGTGTATTCTCACTCATCAGGGAAAACCGACGATGCCAAAGCTTCTGAGAAAGGAAAAAGTCCCCTGAAAGGATCATCTCTACAGAGATCTCCATCGGATGCAGGAAAGAGCAGTGGAGATGAGGGAAAAAAGCCCCCCTCGGGCATTGGAAGATCGACGGCCACTGGCTCTTTTGGATTTAAGAAGCCAAGTGGAGTCGGGTCCTCTGCCATGATCACTAGCAGTGGAGCCACCATAACCAGCGGCTCAGCCACGCTGGGCAAAATCCCCAAATCTGCTGCCATTGGCGGGAAGTCAAACGCAGGGAGGAAGACCAGCTTGGATGGGTCCCAGAATCAGGACGATGCTGGGCTGCATGTCAGCTCCAAAACCTCCCTGCAGTACCGCAGCCTGCCACGCCCGTCCAAATCCAGCGCCAGTGGCATTCCCGGCCGAGGCGGCCACAGATCCAGCACCAGCAGTATCGATTCCAATGTGAGCAGCAAGTCAGCTGGGGCCACCACCTCGAAACTGAGAGAACCCACAAAGATCGGCTCAGGGCGCTCAAGTCCCGTCACGGTCAACCAGACAGACAAGGAGAAAGAGAAGGTTGCGGTCTCAGATTCAGAGAGCGTTTCTTTGTCAGGTTCCCCCAAATCCAGCCCCACATCTGCTAGTGCCTGCGGGACACAAGGGCTCAGGCAGCCAGGATCCAAATACCCTGACATTGCCTCACCAACTTTTCGAAGGTAAGAGAGCGTGAATGGTGCTGGGACAACATATAGCGCTTCATCTTAGGATATCTGTGTGTCCATGGCCTATCCTATAAAGACGTGTATCCTCAGTGTGTGTGTATGTGTGTATATCCTCAGTGTATGATATATATAACTTAGACTCTAAGTCAGTTTCTGAGTACAATGAGTTTTCAGAAGCTGATGCTATAAATAGCTAGTGGAAAATACTGCTCATTTTTAGAAATGCTCCAACTTTGCAGTTTCACTAATGTCACAGCAAAACAAACAGCATTTATGAGTAAAAGCAGATGGTAGTACCTAGGGGGAGTGATAAAATAGTAGCTTGTAATCAATTTTCATCTTTACACAGTTAATAACAAAATAAAATAGGTCTTTATGACTATTGTTATCCATTTCTAGTGTTTATTATCTTGTTGGCTCTTAATGAGCTGATGATAATCATGAACGTAGATGAAGTGGTGTTCCTTATACGGTATCAGATCACAGTGGACAGATTTATGTAGCACCATATCCTGAAATATTAATGAAAATCAAGGTATGGTATGATTGACAGAATTTGAAAAACTTTAGATGCTTGATATAGGATTATAACTAAGAAATGTACTAGGTTTTCTAACTCATCATCAGCTTTCGTTGATATGACTTGAATAACTTACAAGACTTGGTTTCTGCATGGGGATTGTCTTTGATATTCAACATATGGAATATATATTCTCCTTCCCAATATCAGTGTTTTTAAATACTAATGTGTTTTAAGTGGCAGGAAAATACATACAGGGAAAGATTTGTGATGACAGTAAATTATTCTGGGTCTGTTTCTTCATCTATGAAATGATAGAATATGATTTATAGTCTGTTTATAATCCATTACATGTTTATGTTTAATATTTTTAATGTTTGCTTTTATTATAGTGACTAAACCAAGAGCCTTGATATCTGGGAAATAGAGTGTCTTGAAACATTTACATTTCAAAAATCTCAGATACATGATTGTTTGAAAGACCTAGAGGTTTTATATTTATCAGTAGAAATATTAATCCTGAAGAAGTGGTGTTTTGAAGTGTTGATTCTCATTGGAAAGAATAATCACCTGTGATGAGAGTAAATATTTCCGTTGCTTAAGTAAAAGTCAATAGTGCCCTCCAGTGGCCCATTACCTATGAAACAATTTCTCATATTCGTCATAAAATATTTCACTATAGGAAATAACGATTTCATTGCAACTTAATTAGTGATCATTATGTCATTTTTCATATCACACTTTATTTCCATATTTACAAAAATTCGATTATATCATCTGCTTCATTTACAAAACTAAAATGTTTTCTGAAGAAACTCCAACATCTACCTTAGCACCAACCATGTTTCAAATCACTATTATAAATATATATTTGAATAGCACTGGCATCTGACCCTTTGGTCTCTCTTGGGAAAGCTACAGACACACGGACATGTTGCCAACAGTATCCAGTGTTTCTAACCACCTCCTCTCTGACAGCCACTTAGGCCCCCAGCCATCAACACAGACTCCTAAACTTTGCCTTAAGCATTCCTTCTAGATTTTGAGTAAGCCGTTAACATGAAGGAAAACAAAAGAAAAGAAAAATAATTTCATATTATATACCGAATGCGTAGAAGTTGTTTCATTATAATGGTTCTATAAATAGGTAGCAAGTATGTGCAGACTACTTAATTTTGCAAAAAAACTCATGATGGCTTAACTGCGGAAACCAGGGACTGTGATGTTTGGTTTACCCTCCCTTCTCTGTGGCCCACGTCCCCCCATCAACGGGATGGCAGCCCAGTACCAGTTTACCTCTAGGGCAATATGAGAGAGAGATTAGGAAGCTCAGGCTCATCAAGTTCATTAACACAGAGACAGCAAGTGCTCGGGGCCGTCCACCAGAGCACGCTTGGCTCTGCATACTGTAACCCTAAGTATTAAATGTGGATGTTAGCTTCTCGGAACAACTGAAGTTGTTATTTGTTTTTCTTTTAGGTTGTTTGGTGCCAAGGCAGGCGGCAAAGCTGCCTCGGCACCTAGTACTGAGGGTGTGAAATCCTCCTCTGTAATGTGCAGTCCTAGTACCACATTAGCGCGGCAAGGCAGTCTGGAGTCGCCGTCGTCCGGTACGGGCAGCCTGGGCAGTGCTGGCGGGCTCAGTGGCGGCAGCAGCCCTCTCTTCAATAAACCCTCAGACCTCACTGCAGATGTTATAAGCTTAAGCCACTCGCTGGCGTCCAGCCCGGCGTCGGTCCACTCTTTCACGTCAGGTGGCCTCGTGTGGGCTGCCAATCTGAGCAGTTCCTCTGCGGGCAGCAAGGACACCCCGAGTTACCAGTCCATGACTAGCCTCCACACGAGCTCGGAGTCCATTGACCTCCCCCTCAGCCACCACGGCTCCCTATCTGGACTGGCCACAGGCACTCACGAGGTGCAGAGCCTGCTCATGAGAACTGGTAGTGTGAGATCTACTCTCTCAGAAAGGTGAGCTCTCCTGGGGGCCTTGCTGAAGTCCTCACCCCCTCCTCCCCACACTGTACCTACCCCTACCCTGCATTCAGTTGTGGTTTTTTTGTTGTTTTTTTTCTAAATTTCAGTAAGAGTGCCACTTTGCAAAGGGATGTCGGATTGTTGATACTGGGCCTTTTATTTGGTGTTACTACCACATTTGCAGAAAGTGAAAACCATCAAGGATCCATAAAAAATTGACTAGTTAGTTTCTTGGTATGATGCATACATATACACCCACTATCCAATTTAAATAAAATGCAAAGCATGTTTTTATGTATTGAATGATGTTTTCTCCAGACACAACAATAATTTAGCTTGAGCTCCAGGATGACACAGCTCCTTAGGATGATTTAAGCATATTTAAAGATCACATCTAAATGGATTCTACAATTATGCTCAGAGTAAAATGTTCAGTTGGCTTTATTAGCATTTCTTTGGGAAAATAGCAAATGGATAGCTAGGAATCCTAGTTGAATTGGAAGAAAAAAAGATCAGTTGTCAGATATGAATTGTTAGACAAAATTACAACTCTAGTGACATTTTTATTAGGCCCTTTTTAAACTACATTACAAGATGTTTGTCATTGATGTAATTAATTACTGATTTCCTTTAAACGTAAAATGACCATAATAAGGCATTCCTTACCTAATATACTTAAGAGAAAGCATCTCTGTTGGCCAAGAAGGCTCTGGATTCTCTTCCCTAAAAAATCCTTTCTCAGATATTTTGGTACTGATTCTTTTCCCCAGGAATGTATCTTAAACCTGCCTGGTTTTCCCTGATAAACTTAATGCTGTTTGTTTCTTGGCACACCTAAAGCTTTCAGAAATGCCCTTGGCTGTATATCTTAATTGTGTTATTTGTGAAAGTGCCACAGGGTCACTCACAATGCCTGATATCTTTCGCAAACTTTAATCCAGTCTATTGTTGATGGTGACGTATCACCTCAAACACGGCACACTGCAGGTGGATTATTATTTGTTAACAACAGTCAGCTTCCAAAGTGCTGATTGTTTTTATCATGAATATGACTACAAGTTGACCATTTAGCCATCAACCCATTTCTTTGGCATTCATACATTAAAACACAGGAAAATGTCCAAGTAATTATTTGTAACCAAGTAACTCTAAAGTAAATCTAGTTGATAATATTGATGAGTTTTATAGCTGCAATATAAATGCAGTGTTAATATTTTAATTTGATGTATTCTAGCAGAAGTCAGTATATATATATATATATTAACTATGGAAATACACTAACAAATATACAGTTTATTATTCTCTTTAAACAAATCTTATTTTTAAACTTGGTTGTCAGTCTTCAAATAGACCAGTTTTACAGATGGATGTGTTCTGGTATAAACAGATAAATAATTTTTCTAAACTAAATCTTAAAACTAATTTTGAAGAGATGAATTTTTTACCTTTTATTCTTAGTAAGATGTATTCATGACTATTAAACTGTGAAAAAGCAAATTATCTTCATAGTTACGGTATACAATATAAACATTAACTAGTTTCTTCCAATAAATTACTTGATTGAAATAATTTTTGATATAAGAAGTTCTACTTTTTTTTCTTGTGAACAAAATTTCTAGCAAGAGCAATTCATTCTAATTCTTTAAAGTACACCCAAGAACTATATGATCCCTTGAAGAGAAAATTAGATCCTATCAGAGATCCTGGCTTAATTACAATAGTCCACATAATGTTGGGAACATTAGGGAAGCCAAACATTTAGCCATGCCTAAAAGAAAATGTGCCAAAGTCTGAATATTTTAGACAAAGTAATTAGAAAGATATAATAGAGATGTATGTAAGTTAATGACTTACCTGTTGATATACAATTTCAGAAGACTTTATTGATGTTTATTATTCTAATACTATTAAATAAGTAGATTTTCATATAGATTTTAATTTTGGTCTAAATTTCTCCTCATTAAAGTAGCGTAAACAAATTATTTAAAATTTAACAATTTTCTCCTCTAACTGCTCTAGATCAGAGCCTTCTTTGGCTATAATTAGTTCACATTTGTTTTGCACATTTTGTTTTTTTGTGACCGAACCAAACCTTAAAACATTTAAAGTTGTAGCCAACCTTAAAAACATCTGACCTGGTTTTTCCTGTCAGATGGAGCTACCCTGCCTTTAAAATCCTGTGCCATGTTTCTACTGGCTTCAGACAAACAGTGCCTGTCCCCTTCAGACTGTTAGTTAAAACTTCTACTTCATCTATTCCCATTGCCCTCGTGGCTCCTGCAGGCATAAGAGTTTTTAGCCTTTCAGCGTTTGTGAGAAGTGTCTATATTATAAAATCATTAATATCCAGATTCAAACAGATACTTCTACTTAAAGTTTTAACTTATATTGATGAACTTATCTTCTGATTTTCCTTTCATTAAGTTCTCTGTACAATACAAACATATAATGTTTACACAGTTAATAACATGGGCAAAACAATGCCTATTTTCACTGTTCTCTGATGTTAAAATTTAATAAATTCATACACATGAAAGAGATAATCTTTAAAATAGCTGACAACGATATCAATGCTTCAGCATATTGTAGTGTATATTTAGAGTACTCTCGTAGTGGTTCAGTATGATTCCTTTTTGTTGTACTAAAAATACAGATGTACTATAAATACCTCTAGAGTCAAGATACATACTAGAATTGGCCTCTACATAATTGTGTGATTACCCTATTTGGACATCCCCAGTACATAAAGTAAAAGAAGATGATGCCTTTGGATGCTTTCTATTGCAGTGCTAATTAATGGAGTAACCATAGAAGAAAACATTTTAGCTTTGATTTTTAGTGATTAAATTTCAAGTCATTGTGTTGGCATTCATGTTGTATCATCCTCATGTGCATAACCTGTGTATTTAATTTTGACCATTTGAAGTTTAATGAAAGAGAGATATCATTCTGCAAATTCAAATCAGTTTTATTATTTGGTTATCCATATGCCAGAGATTATAACAGAAATTCCTAGACTCGTCCTGCTTAATTCTTGACACCCTCTTCCTCTATTTTTAGGGAGGACACTTCTCATTTTCTCCAGACACATTCTTTCTTCCCTTTTTAGGACCAATTGAGAATTCTTTAAAATAGACACTGAAAACTCAGTCTTTTAAACATCTAATTTATAATTTGAAAAGATATCATAGTTTAATTGTATTAAAATATTTAAATAAATGATGCTAGAAAGATTACATTTCAAGCAGATATATATTTCTCTTCTTTTTCTGTGAATAAAAATATATCTGCCTTTATTTTTACTAAAGATCATTTAAATACAAAAAATAAGTATTGAAAGGTGATTTATTACATCTCTGTCTGTTGGAACATGCCACTTTAACTTAGGCAGAGATCTTTCTCATTCCTCCTCTATGATTCTCTTACATGTGAAATCATAGCAGAAATCTAGTCATTTGCATGGGAAAGAAAAACCTACCGTAACACTAGGCAAATAGAATCTAGAGGAGAAGTATGTTAATATATAACTTAATCTATCTTCAAATAGACCTGTCACTGAGTTATCATTGAATGTGTTACAACAGTGAAATCCAGTCTCCTTTGGTTGGCCTTTTACAGTGAGTTAAGCATTAAATATGTTTTTACCAAAAAAGAAAACCTTATTTTGTGTAACAGATTTCAAACAGAGTCATTTATGTTGGATGTATAATTTGGAGGGTTTTTTTTACATTATGTCCTTAGGGGTTTTCTTTGTTTTAACAGCATGCAGCTTGACAGAAATACACTACCCAAAAAGGGACTAAGGTATATATTTCTCTCAGCATAATCGCTGCCTTTCTCTGTTGTTACGTAAACTTTGTGTGCTGTCTCTCTACTTCTTTCTTTCTTTCTTTGCAAAGAAGCGCCTGACATTGAGGATGAACTCACTCTTAATCCTGAAGTTTTCCCTGGCCTGAGGAGTTGGTGAGATGGCCCTCAGGTAGAAGTTTTGGTAGAGGCCAAAACTCAGTAAATTAAATGTGATATAAAAGACATTATTTGGGGGGGGCAACAATTTTAGTAGAATTCAGAACTCACTTCTGAAGAATAAAATCAGTTTCCCTAATGTTTGTATCTTGGAGGCATAGGCCTACAAAAGCCTCAATCCCTATAGTCTTCACCTGTGGCCAATGAATGTTGAGAGGTTGACCGATGCTCTAATTTGAATCAAAGAAAAGTTATTTTCATCATCAGAGGACAAATAGTGTAATTAAGGGATAATTTTTAAGGAATCCTTTTAGTAAAAACTCAGAAAAGCTTTCTTTTTTATGTTTTTCAGAAGTGCTGATATCTATCAAATCAGTACAGACATAAATTAGTCTAGTATTACATAATAATATCAAAATAATTATTCAGTTCATAAAAAATATGGAATGAAAATTTAATGCATGGCTGTCTTTTACTGTGGACTTTTATCTAATGGGAGGATATGGAATGAACTATGACTAGAGATATGACACTATACGAACATGATAAGTTGACTACTATTTGGAACTAAGAATTTACTTACTCTGGCAAAAGTGAATACTGGCCTATTAGATCTTCATCTGTTATCCTCCTCCTCTCCAGTTTCTTAGCAAGAGCAAACAGTTTGCAAATATTCCATTTTAAGATTTTGTCCCAGAAATTTATTTTCCAATAAAGGAAGCTTATTTCCCTTTCCATTTTTTAAAAAAATCCAGACATGGTGTCAAGTGGCATTTTTAACCAAATAAATGTTTTCCTTTTCCTTTAAAGAAGATCTGTCAGTTTGTGTTCTGCTTCCCGTGCCTTATTGTAACCATCCCTCCCATTCCCTTGGCTTCTGGCCAGCTACTGTCTACCATATTTGCTTTGTGTTTTCACCCTCTTCACACCCTTCTAAACACCATGCTTTTGCGCCCTTCTCAATTAACCTGGCTGTCTGCTCGTTGCTTATGATTTTCAACCGCATATCTCACAGGAACATAATTTTCTTTTCAAAATCCTTTATTTTTTTTCCTGTGAGATTCAAACAGATGGTGTCAAATCATCTGGAAGAACTAAGCAATTATAATTAGATTCAATCTGTTTGAGAATGTTGTTCAGTCTGAATAGTAAGCTCCTCTCAGTTGTTTTCTTGTCCTGATATTGCCTTGCCTTTGCAGATGTGCTGAAGTGTCTTAGCTGTGCTGTTTTGCAGATACACCCCATCATCTCGGCAGGCCAGCCAAGAAGAAGGCAAAGAGTGGTTACGCTCCCATTCTACTGGAGGGCTGCAGGATACTGGCAACCAGTCACCCCTGGTGTCCCCTTCTGCTATGTCATCTTCTGCAACAGGAAAATATCACTTTTCCAACTTGGGTAAAATCTTCTAAAACATCAGTTTCATCTTGTTCCTTTTACCACCTACTCTCCCAGAAACCCTGGCATATGTTCACAAGAATTGCTCATTTAAAGAGGAGATAGACACCCTAACATTATCTTTTATTTGTACGTTTACAATCCCAAAAATAATGCCCAAGCATTATGCAGTTTATTTCTCATGACAACAAGTTGGCATAGTTAATACTGTTGTTATTTCATATCCTAAGATCCAGAGGCAAAAAGAGATTTTTTTGACTTAAAAAAAAATCACCAATCTTAAGGGGCAGAGATAGTAATTGATGCCAGAACACCTGACCTTAAGCCTAGGAGTTTTCTCAGAGTCCTCTTGTTTAATTTTTGTAATCCTTATAAGAAAATTATCATTTTGTAGAAAAAAAGAAAATAGAAATAATTAAGAAGAAAATATATCATTCCATGACTCCATAGTTACATCTTCATTTTAAAGTGAGAACTCTCCTTAAAATGCATGTGAGAATTCCTATTAAGATATATATATATATATATATACCCTGTGAACATTTTTGGATTAAGGCAATGAAAAGAAATGATTATTTGAGCCACTGGATTACTTTGTGTTTAGCATAACTTTTACAAAATATAAAGTCATTTGTATAAATATCACAGAAAACAGAAGGGAAAGTGACAGAATAATGAAAGCCTAAATATGCCAGTTATCATTGAACAGATCCATTGCTTTTAAAAATAGATGTCTCTTCTATAAAGTCATGTATAAAATAGTCACATTATTTTTTTCACTTGAGATTGTTTTTTTGGTAACAGTAGACCAACAGAGTGTCCAAATTCTTTGATAATTTGGACTTTTCAACTTACCTCCCTGTTGGAATACTGAAGGCTATTTCTCTTCTATTATAATTGTTCTGCTATAGAGAATAGAGATTATGACAATGAAAAACAGTTACTTAGGTTGTCATTCTATACGTACTAGTGAATATATATCCAACACCAAGTTTTTATTGATGAACCTACACAGTGATGAGATTTCTTTGTCTCATAATGGCAAAGGGTGGTAAAACTTTTACTTTGAGTTGTAGTTATAAAATGCAACAGGAAGCTTAAAACTTTGATTTCAAAAATGAAGTGAAAATGTTTTTGTAGAGTCATAGACATATGAAACAAAATCTGATATTGTACAATATTGAAATCAAACCCATGTCACCTGGTTTGCTGAATTTGCTGGGTATCTCATGGCTCCCTCCTGTCAATCTTTTCGTTAATTGATATTAATCCGAGTATGTGAATCCTTACTCCATTAATTTTCCGTTGTTATTATTCTGATTCAATCTATCCCATTTTTTGTTAAGAAGGAAAAAACTCACTACTTACTGTGTCTGATATTAGCAGTCATTTAACTTCAATTTTCTCACCTATTAGATAGATTCATAATACCTAGGTTATATTGTAAGGAATGACTAACATTTGCAAAGAGACAAGAGAGAGAGAATCAGACTTGGTAGACTCTGGTACGTCATCATTTTTATTGGAAAGAGATGTCTTATACTAGCAGAGAGTTGCAGTAGGTTTCAAATAGATCTTACTATCTGTATTTTCATACCTCTCAAAGTGTTCACCCAATGGGACTTAGGAAGAAAGATCTTCGCATACATATCCACACACTTTTATGCGCCTACCCATATTTTATAAGTGTGTATGTGGATGCATATCAGATATGCTATATTATTTTATAAGAGAAAAATAAAATAACTAGTTTCAAAACCATGAATATTGCTCTTAAAGACTTTTGGTTGTGTTTCCAGACCACTGGAACTTACATTTATTAGGCAAGAGAGTGGATACCATTTAAATGCAATCATAAATTAAAATTACTTTATTATTAAATTTTAAAAATATATCAAATGTAACACTATAAGTTGAATATGGGTAGCAGTGTTCTACATTTTACTTTAGTAATCACTTGTTTTCAATTTGATCATTTTTTTGCATAATCAGTAAGATAAGTGATTATTACAAACACTTGAGTTGCAGTAACCGTGCTTTTTATTCTTACCCACTAAAAATATTAATATTGTATATAAATTTTTAGAAATATTGCTGTAAAAATCACAAATAATAAATATTAGAAATTTAAGGTCACTACTACTATGTCATTATTAATAGACTACTGTGAGCTACTGCTGAAGTCAACTCTGGTTTGTATGTGGTTTCTGGCATGATAGCTATAAAAGAAATCATTCCTCTTGAAGAAAGCATTACAGAATATAACTTACATAAACAAATTATTATTGGATGCAGTTTTGTTTACTGTTGGTCACAATCCTTGTGAGGCATCCCATAACCTAGTGAGACATTGTCATAGTCCCATGGGTGATGACAGTTGCTCAGATTCTTTTTCACCTTGCCTCAAGGGTTACCATGTAGAAGCATTACTGTCAACGTGTCACTTTCAAAGTCTCCATATTTGATGGGCTCACACAGTCCTTAAAGAATCCATCTGCAATGCGGGAGACCTGGCATCAATCCCTGGAGAAGGGAATGGCTCCCCACACCAGGAGGCAGCAGTTCTACCTAATTCTCTGGCTTGGAGAATCCCATGGACAGAGGAGCCTGGCAGGCTACTGTCCATGGGGTCGCAAGAGTCAGACACGTTTGAGTGACTTTCACTTTCACTTTTGCATAGAGTGATGTTTAAACACCTTTGTATGGGAAATTTCTTTGCATTTACTCCCAAAGGTCCCTACACCTTGAATTCCCTTCTACTCCCTTTCTGTATTCACCCTTAAACCATTCAGGATTAAGCCTTTTCTTCTATGCTCAAGGAAGAGTAGAATCTCACAGTTGGAAGAAACCTACATCTGATTCAATTGTGAATCTGTTATGCAAGTTCTTGTGACAGCTCTAGCTTCTCTAAACCCACCAATGACAAACTACCTATATCTAGACATATTCCACTTTTAAAGTTCTTTAACTGATCAAATAAACATTTTCTGAATCTCCACCTAGTTCCTAGTTAATATTCCAAAATTCTACAAAATAAAAGTAGGCTGCATATGACAGCTCTTATTAAAAGAACATCATGAACTCATTTGCTAACATGTCTACAGCAGCAAAGTCTGGAGTCACTTGCTGTATTTAAAAACCCACTCCATCTTTCTGTTAGTTTCTGTTCTCCTCAGATCATCACAAATCAACTGATAATTTAATAAAAACAGTGACGTTAGTATGATAGACGATTTAAGGCAAAGCCAGTAGTCCTCTTTTTCCATAATATCTTGTTATACCTATATCTCGCTTATTAGAAATGTTTACATGTTCCCTGGTTTTAAATGGATCTTACAGGCCATTTATTCTGCCATTTTTTTTTTTTTTTTTTTTTTTTTTTAGCTTACAAAGAAACTGCAGTGTGGATATGGAAATATTTGCCTAAAGAAAGTGGAAAGAAAAGCTACCACTAGATGCTCTGTACTATTCTGTGTCCCATTACAGAAATTCTCTTTCCATCATACTTTTTTCTTCTGTTGCATACCTTTTCTCTGTCTCTTTTATGTTATTAATTTCTCTACCTTTCAATCACCTCTTCTAGAGGTCACTCTTGAAGCCAGAGATCTTGCTATACTGATCTTTCTATTCAACCACAATAACAAAAAAGCAAGCCTGCCATAGATTTAACTTAATTGAACATTCTTAAATAAAATGAATATGTTTCCAATGGAGAACCTCTCAGAAATGCTTATAAATACACACTGTTCCTTTTATTTTTAAAATACAAAGCACAGCTTTAATGACTATTTCCAAGTGAACATGCATGCGGCTCTCATTCTGGTCAAGACAAGGACATTCTCAACACCTCCCTTCCACCCATCTAGCAACCCAGCCACAATCCATACCTTCCCCCAAAGCTAGCTACTATCCTTATGTCCTTTTTTAAAATCAGAGTGTAATTGCTTTGTAACGCTGCGTTAGTTTCTGCCGTACAAGAGTGAATCAATTACCTGTGTGCGCGGCCCCCTCCCTCTCGAGCCTTCCTCCTGGTGACCCCCCCCACACGTCTAGATCCCCACAGGCCCATGAGCTCAGCTTTCTCCCCTGCAGCAGCTTCCCCCTCGCGCGCTGTTTCACACGTGGTGATGGGCCTGTGTCAGCGCTGCTCTCTGTTTGCCCCAGCCTCCCCACTCCAAAGCATCCCTTTTAAAATCCACCCCCTAGTCCTCATTACAACTTCATTTTGAATGAGTGAAATGTTATGCTTTGAAATTATTTAAGGAGAGTTTACCTGGCTATATCTGCAACCATTTTGTGAGAATTTGCACAAATTCAGTGAATGAAGTGTGTTTCTAACCTCTCTCTATATGTATGTATTAAAATGATACGCTTGCAAATGTATTCAGTCAATTTATAACTGTGAACCTAAGACAGTTTACTCCAGTAAACCTAAGATTTACTCCAGTCCAGACACCTTAAACACACACATTCAAGTCTAGAATGTCCTTTGGGGCATCTGTTGGTCGTCTTTACAATCATTGACTCGTCACTGCCCACTGAAGGGCGCTGAAGGGCACTGAAGTACCTGAGAGATCTTTCTCTAACTTTTACTCTCTCACTCTCCTTTCTTTCTTCCCCCCACTTTCCACCCTTTCTTCCCTTCCTCCAGTGGATTGGGGACTTTGCAAATCCAAAGTTCCTTTCTTTCATTATTGTATGTCACATATGCACACGTAGATATAATTCCAAGTCTTATGTTACTTTTCTTCCTCTTATTTTACTTCAATTCACAACTAACTCTGTCAGAGTTGTTCTGTGCATTGATTCATTAATACCTGTAACATATCCAGCATAGTACCTGGCAAATACGAGATAGTCTTCTAAAGTTATCTCATAGTATATATGCCCCATATTTTACATTGTTCTGAGATCCAGCAGTTACGTTAAGAAATGTAGTGCCTATGTCAAAGAAAAAAAAAATAGCAAGTTTTGAAATTTTATTGGACCAATTCTAAGCCAAAGACATAAATTCCCCAGGATTTTGAAAGTACTCAGCCATTCTTTTCATATCTTAAGGGTCTCCTGCCTGCTTCCTCATATGTCTGTAACAACTTGTATTTCTTAAATATGAGCATTTATGATAAATATATATCTTAATTTTTCTGTTTTGCTTTTATTCCAAATTTAAAGAAATATTGTTTTCCAATTCAGTCAACCACATATTTCTTTAAATTGATGACAATCAGTTGGCCTAAAACCTTGAATGTTATTAGGTCTATTTGGCAATAGGCACTAGGTAAATAAATTCATGTTTCAAATTACAGACTTAAGGCATTGCTTGAGAGATACAAGTTTGTGACTTTTGATAGTCTCACTGTGACATTCTCATCTTAGATATGATAGAAAGTAGTTTTAAATGATTAACTTCACAATGAGCTGTGGATAACCATGTACCTTACATTATATTTCATTTTTATTTTTCTTTATTATAACCTAACTCTGATAATAGTGATGGTTCTGATTATGAACTGACAAAAATTTAGAGCTCAAACTGACTGAAAATCTTTTGTTGGAATCTTCATATACATTTTCCTGGAAAATTTAGATTACCTTTTCTCTAAAAATAAATGTTCGGACTCTAGGAAGACAATTTTTTCTTCATAATGGGCAGCAGGAAATACCATATTATTTCTAGGAAAAAAACAGTAGAAGTGACTTGATGGTTTCGTTTAATATTGTTTTAGAAATTGACATACTGCTTGCCATGAAAGTGCTAGAAAAAAGAGGGACTCCACTGTAACTGCTGTTGAAAATTTCAGAGGCAAACTTCCAAGTCTCGGAATAATGGGCTGTGTGCACTTTGTTTTTCAGTAAGCCCAACCAATCTTTCTCAGTTCAACCTTCCTGGGCCCAGCATGATGCGCTCAAACAGCATCCCAGCCCAAGACTCGTCCTTCGATCTCTATGACGACTCCCAGCTTTGTGGGAGTGCCACGTCTCTGGAGGAGAGGCCACGGGCCATCAGTCATTCAGGCTCATTCAGAGACAGCATGGAAGAAGGTAGGCCTGGGGGAAATCAGGATGAAGCTGGTTAACTCAGGCCTGAAAGCTCGCACGTCACTCATGTCAAAAGGATGCCTTCAAGAGTAAATCTAGTAGGGTAGTTCCATTTCAGGAGCCCTGGAACTTGAAGACATTTTAGTCTGTATTACCTTCTGTTTCTTTATGCGTTTGGAAATATGACAGAAATAGTTTAGATTAATACTTGACTATAGGACAGTTCAGAATAAATCTGGTGTTCCCCTACGCAAACCTGGGCGATTTTAGAGACTATTTGCTGTGGTTTGCCAAATATCAAAGTGAATGCTTCGTTTGACACGTTGGTTAAAAAACCATAAAAGATACATAAACCAGAAAAAAATTCTCGTGTGAAACAACCACATGCTGCCAACTTTTATTCTCAGAAACTCCACTGGTGTTAGTTTTTATTATCATATCATTTAAGAATTCAAAGTGCACCTACATTTTGCTTTATTAAGTTATATTTCCTTTGTCCATTACATTAAAATTCTCACCTGACCTAATAAATGTCTTCATAGTTGTAAAGTTCTACATGGACACTTTATAACAAATACTCTTTGACAAACTCAGGAGGCTTAATTGATTTTCGAATGTGTATAATTTTCTAAACTGTATAACCCCAAATGTAAAACTTGATAATAATATTTGAGAGATTTTCCTCTTTGATTTAATGAGTGATTTTTAAATGCTCACAAAGGAAAATTGTGGCACACATTTTATAAAGCACTTTTCATTAAGAATAAAACAAAGGTAAACATATAAGTTCAAATTGATTAGAATAAAATCAGAGACAGTCAGCTATAATGTCCTGGTCCTTAATAAGTTTTTATAACAGAAAAGACTCTATATCTTGAAACATACTGGTCATCTGTCTATTTGTGGTATAAACTTGAGAAAGTTTCATAACTTTGTTATGTCTGATTTCTGTATCTGTAATTTCTAAGGATGAAAACACAGTAAAGTTTGATTCTGTTCCTTTGTTTTTCCCCGTCCTACCTTTTTTTTTAAAACATCTTCTGACTAAAATTGAGGCAGCTGTGAAAATTGACTCCTGGTCTTCAGGTCATCATTGTAGTATGAATATTTACCAGGCTATTACTAAATCACTTGACCACAGTTGCCACTGCCTTTTGGGATATTAACCAAACCACTGAATTCACTGTGACAGATAGTGAATTCTACCCTGAGAGCCTCCTGATAGCTGCAGATGTAGACAAAATATAACAAATCTGAAATGTAAAGTCGTTGCATTTCTAAAATGGTTCTCTCTCTCTCTTCACAGATAGGCCTTTTATAATACTGGAAAAATGATGTGCTAAACATGCTCATGGCTTTCTATGGTGCTTCACTGGCAGAGAGAATGCTATTTATATATATGCTTGGAAATTCTGGCCTTCCTTTATATGGATAAATAATCTGACCTTATGTCTCTCAAATTCACTGCTTTATTATCATTTCAGCTGCTTTCCTAGACCTTTCCAGACCAGTTGTGAACGCCCCTAGGTGCTTTCTTACTACCCAGTACATTGCTCTCAATAGTATTTATATGACCCCATTGTGATTTTTTTTTTTTTTAGTTACATATATTTCTATTTCTTTTTGAGCTCTGAGAATTGTGACATTCAATTTTATAGTCCCAGCATCTAGCAAGGGCCTGTCACATTGTGTGTACTCAACTAATGCTTCTTTGATGGATGAATAAGCAGAAATAACTATATATTATCCCATAATGAAAAGAGGAAGAACTTTTCTACAACTATAATTAAGCACAATTGTATCCTCCTTTGAGCTTAATATCTTGGACTTGCACAAGTAATAAACCATTCTGTTAACTCATCAACATGATTTTTTCTACACCTCCCCAAAAGACAGTATAAAATTTCCACTCTTAATTTCTAAGAGACACCACCTTGAAATAAGTACTCTTCTATTACTAAAATTATGAAGAAACCATACTTCATTTAAATGAGTATAATCAGCTCATCATAGATAATGTTGAAATAGCTCATTTCCCTGAACGTATATGGAGAAAAATACTGAAAATCAATCTTTGTTGTATAAAAAGTGAAATTGAGTAAAATACATGAAAATTTTTTATAAGTTTACACTTTCATAGTAACTTAAGATGTCCTTGATTTTCTGATTAATTATTATGTGAGACCTTACTCCGGTTTGCAGTATGTGCATGGCATACTAGAAGGGTTTGCATTTGTCAATTCTTCTCTGTACATGATGGAGGAAGTACTTTAGGGGAGAGGTATGGGAACTTCCCGTGGTTCAACATTTGGATCTCTAAAAATTAACGGCAGGCTTGTCCTCAGATTCTTATGTTATTTTTATTTCCTTAACCACCTAGTCTTCATTTTTCGGTAAAGACCTAGTGGTTCTGAACAGACGTCATCATCTCACCTCTTGTTCTTTTTTGCTTTCTTCAGTTCATGGCTCCTCACTATCACTGGTCTCCAGCACGTCTTCTCTTTACTCTACGGTAAGTGTTGGCTATAGAGAAAAACCTTTTGCCTTTGCCAGCCTTTGTTAAATAGGTTGACATTTACACAGAAGTTCCACAGTGACATAGAGGTGTACGCTCAGCTCTTGCATATCCGGTAAGGAGGCAGGTACTCTACCAATTCTTCTCTGAGACACGTATTTGTAATCAATGAGTGGATGAAAAACTGAACTTGAGAAGACCTGATGGTTTGTGACTCAAAACCCTTAAAACCATGTACTAGTCTCCATAATAACTTTATCATACTGACCACTTTTCTTTGTTTGGTTCTCTGACTGGTAATTGTTCTATGGTATTTTCATCATTTTCTTTTTTTTTATTGTTTAAGTTCATTTTTTGAGAAGATTGTATTAAAGAGTAAAAGCCTAAAAGGCATAATGAGTTTTTAAACTAAATCTTCTTAAAGAGCGTGATTTTTAAAACTTCATTTCTTTAAGAGGGAAATGCCAGTATATCAACTTATTTTTCCGGTGTGTGAAATATATTTTGTTTTTGCAAGTGTAAGTTTTCTGCCCAGTTAATATAATTTCATCCTTTTCTAAAAATTAGTCTACATGGAGTTATGTTTTACAAAAAACTTCCTTCATCCTAGGTATATTTTAGTTTATGAATCTCACTGAGGCTTGAACATTATGACTAACCCCTAATTCTGTATTAAAAGTTCATGAGAAGTTCAAAAGCCTCAGCTGTCACTAAGTAATTAAGCATTAAGGGCAACACTGATTTTTTTTCACTCATTTTCATTAGTTCAAATATTATGGCCCTCTTATATATTTATTGCTTTAGAAAGTTCCTCAAGATCAAACTATCTTTGGTAGAGGCAATATTTTTCTAATCATTTCTCCTTTTAATGAGTAAAATTGTCAGTAGATCTAAGAATAATGAAATTACTGTTAGTGTTGAGATAAATCTGCTGTTCTGGGGCTTCCCTGGTGGCTCAGACGGTAAACCATCTGTCTGCAATGTTGGAGACCCGGGTTTGATCCCTGGGTCAGGAAGATCCCCTGGAGAAGGAAATGGCAACCCGCTCCAGTACTCTTGCCTGGAAAATCCCATGGACAGAGGAGCCTGGTGGGCTACAGTCCATGGGGTCACAAAGAGTTGGACACGACTGAGCGACTTTCCTTACTCTTCTGGGCAAACGGATAAAGAAGTGAGAAAAGTCAAAATGTATGGGAAAAAACACGCAAAAAATATGTTAATATGTTAAGATGTAGTATTCCTCCTATTGGGCCAATGCCACTGCTTGAGGGGAGGTATATTCTGATTTAAACATTTGCAGTTGAATTCTCTCTATAACATCAAAGGTGCAACATCATTGCAGTCATATTTTAAATTATACAGAAGCAGTATTTGGATAAGAAACCACCTTCATGTAGCCTGAGAAAAACTCAAGAAAAAGAGCGTGAGTTGAGGAAAAGCAGATGGCTAATTAGTATACACAAGTCCAATAGGCCTTTCTGTGATAATAAAAATACTCTACACCTGTGCTAGATAATATAGTAACCTCTAGTCACATGTGGCTAACGAGTATTTGAAGTGTATATGGTATGACAAAGGGACTGAATTTTTAATTTTGCATATTATGAATGTGGGCTTCCCTGGTGGCTCAGATGGTAAAGAATCTGCCTGTCAATGCAGGAGACGTGGGTTCCACCCCTGGTTCAGAAAGTTCCTCTGGAGGAGGAAATTGCTACGCACTCTAGTATTCTCACCTGGGAAATCCCACAGACAGGAACTGGGGAGGATGCAATCCATAGGGTTGCAAAAGAGTCAGGCACGACTTAGCGACTAAACAAAAACAACTTTAAATTTATATAGACATGCGTTCCTGTGGCTACTATATTGGATATTATAGGTTTACAGGAGTAGATGTCAAAATAAGGATAAATTAGAAAGTATAATGAGAAGTATTACATTAAGAGTACAATATGAAATAGGAAGAGATGAAAATAAAGTCTATACACACATGTTTATGTGATAAAATAGACGCTCAAGTTAAGTGTGAAAAGAATGGATTAGGTGATCAAAACATGAGAAGGTGACATTATTAGGAAATGAGGAAATTTAAATAGCTTTATTGAAAATGATGGAAATTATTTGCTTGTACTTAGACAATTCAGACAAATGCATGTTTAGTGGAGTAATGAAGAGAAGGCTCCAGATGATGAGGAGTCACTCTGTCTCCAGTGCCCCATTACCATGCCCTGAGATTTAACTGGCAATGAAAGGGTATCTGTGAAAGTGTTTTTCAAACCATGAAGTGAAAAATCAACTTATCATTTTTTTCCATTCCTCCTTAAGGACTGTGGATAAAGATTCAATTCATTTACATTTTTGACATCAGAAAAGTTGCTCAATTTCTTTGGACTATACCTGTAAAATAAGGTGGCAAAGAGCAGCCAGATCTATCCGATCTGTTCAAGGGACTTTTGCAATTATTAGAGAAGAAGAGGGTCCTTCTATACCATTAATTACAAAAAAACTGTAAACTTCATGGGAGCACCATTTATGTCATAGTCTTTGTGAACGGCACCTTTTGAAATATGCCATGTGCAAGTAACACAATTGTGCATGATATTCCTTCATAAAATAATTAAAGAGATCCCTGACAATCCAGTGGTTAGGACTCCACACTCCCACTGCCAAGGGCCTGGGTTCAGTTCCTGGTTGGAGGACTAAGATCTGCAAGCCAAGCTGGATGACCAAAAAAAGAAGAAAAAAAAAAATCTTTTTTTTTTTTTTTAGAAGATTGTTAGACTCCACTGCCAAGGGCCTGGGTTCAGTTCCTGGTTGGAGGACTAAGATCTGCAAGCCGAGCTGGATGACCAAAAAAAGAAGAAAAAAAAAAAATTTTTTTTTTTTAGAAGATTGTTAGACACTTTGTTTTATTAGGCAATATACAGTTCTTAGGCACCATGGATAGAAACAATCTTTGACACTATCATTTATACAATTTATGGGATTATATTAAACAAACAAAGATGGCATTTGCCTATCAAATTACAAGTACAATAAATCCAATTGAAAGGATTCTTTCTTCACATACAACTTTTGAAGTCTCTACCAATTATAACTTGGTAAAATTTTCAAAGGTATCTTGTTATAAAGCTGAGTAAGTAATCTTTCAGAATTTTAGGGAGATTACTAACTGGTTGAAAAATCACAATCTGACCTGCCAAGCTGTTACCCTTGGCAAATTTTGGGTTTGTGTGTTTGTCTTTAATTCTAAGCCAACACCGTGAAATATGGAGTTTTACATGAAAATTCTAATTTCTAAGTTCCTTTGGAAAGTGAGTGGAATATCTATCAACACGGAGATGAAATTCTTCCAGGTTTATGCATGCTAAGTTGTTTCAGTCGTGTCCAACTCTTTGCGACTCCATGGACTGTAGCCTGTCAGACTCTTCTGTCTATTGGGTTTTCCAGGCAAGAATACAGGAATGGATTGCCATTTCCTTCTCCAGGGAATCTTCCTGACCCAAGAATCAAACTAACATCTCTTACGTCTTCCTCATAGGCATAGGCAGGAAGTCTTTACCACTAGTGTTTACAGCATCACCCCTTTAAGATATTAGTGTGATCTCAGACAAGACCCAGCCTCCACTGATTCTTCTCTTGCTGACAATGAAGCTGAGTTTGCATTGTTAGTTATTACTGTGCTTTTGCATTTCTTGAAGAAAAGAAATAACTCTGTAGTATCCATATCTTTATGGAAAGTGGGGGAAAATAGCCTAGGAAGGGTGTGTGATTTTTCTTTAATACCCAGGGCACTTTTTATTCTTTAGTTCTATTAAATATTTAAATTTTTGATCTTTGCAATAGATGTTTTCTGAGTGGCTGTACATTAAAAATTGTATTGAACTGGTTTTGTACTTTTTATCTACTTTGTATTGATTTAATAAGAGTGAGGGCTGTGTTAGTTCTTTGTGGATCCCTTCAGCATAGTTCCTAACACACAACTAATAATAAAACAAATATTTTTTAATTAATAAATTTGAAAGGATGAGTGGATGGCCAAGAAAAGCTTGCAGAATAAAGAAACATCTAATATATTTTTATTTAGGCAAGATGTTTTATACTGTTTACCATCCTTGACATTGAGCCAGCTTTAAAACCATTATTTAATACTGAGAAGTAATCATATTTCATCATATATCATCAATCCATGCCTAGCCCACCAAAAGAAATATAATATTAATAATCTGGCTCACTGCTTCCGCTTTATGGTAACAGCTACCAAGTATTGCTAACCAAAGCTTATGAAAGAAAGCAAAGATTAAACAAAAAGTTCTGAAAAGTCAGTAAACAAAATGATTCTATACAATATGCATATGCATGTATATAATTAATATGTAATAGTTATGCATGTAGTTAGTGTATGTAACTTATTCAGTTTTTTATTAATAATAAAAATGTGATGAATTTCTTTTTAGACAATTTTTGTAAATAACATACAATGCTCTTTTAAACATGCAGATTACTTATTGAGCATCATTTCCGTATAATCCTAGCAAGCCTAAAAGCAGTATTTGGACAGAATAAACTGGCAATAAATATTCAAAATACCAGGGAAACCAAATAGGGTTAATCACACCATATGTGTCAAGGCAAACAACTTCCAACTTTCTTTCTGTCTATGAAATTGTCTTAAAATTCCTTTATATGTCTGATACAAAAGTCAAACTATATGAACCTTGAAATTATTATAATTTTAAAATACTGAATCTTTACTTAAAGATTCACTTCACTTTAAAATAAATTTGAGATGTAAACCTTTAGGTCCGTGTTTATTTTTAAAACAGTTTTGTTAAAAAGGCTATTGGGATTCTGTTAGGTAACTACTCTTTATTTAACTACTATCTTACTAAGTATTCAGTTCAGTTCAGTCACTCAGTTGTGTCCAACTCTTTGCATCCCATGGACTGCAGCACCCCAGGCCTCCCTGTCCCTTACCAACTCCCAGAATTTACTCAAACTCACGTCCATTGAGTCAGTGATGCCATCTAACCATCTCATCCTCTGTTGCCCCTTTCTCCTCTCGCCTGCAATTTTTCCTAGCATCAGGGTCTTTTCCAATGAGTCAGTTCTTCACATCAGGTGTTTCAAAAGTTTCAGCTTCAGCATCAGTTCGTCCAGTGAATATTGATGACTGATTTCCTTTAGGTTGGACTGGTTGGATCTCCTTGCAGTCCAAGGGACTCTCAAGAGTCTTCTCCAATGCCACAGTTCAAAAGCACCAATTCTTCGGCGCTCAGCTTTCTTCACAGTCCAACT